TTATTGGACGACTAGTTATGTATATGTTTTTGAATTTGGTTATGTTAATTTGTAAAATTTACGAATGAAATGTCATTAGTTGTATTTATGTAGTGTTGTTGAAAATATTAAAAAAATTAATTATAGTACGGAACCGAACCGAACGGATCCAAAATTATATTTGGAATTGATGGTTCCATTTACTAAATACCAAAAAATTTCTGGAACCGAAAAAAATCGAACCAAACCAATCCGCGCCCACCCTTAAATGTGTTGTTGAAAATGAGTTTTGAAAAAAATGACTCAAACATATGCATATTTTTTAGAGTTGTCACAAGATAAATTAAGAGAAAACATGGCATCGGCTTCGTGTATAATATTTTATACTTTAAAAATTGTAATTTTTGAATAGTTAGATTCGGTGAGTAAAGTTCAGTGCCTACTCAAAAGCATTTTAAAGTCTAATGAGTATAGTGTGATGAAAATTAAAGTTCAGTGACTAATAAAATATAGTGAGTGAGTGATGAAATGCAATATGTTAAAGTTCAATGACCACTCAAAAGCATTTATAAAGTTGAGTTACTTATGAAACATGGGGAATGAGTGATGGAGTGCAATGTGTAAAGTTTGGCGATCACTCGAAAGCATTTTAAAATTCAGTGAATAAAACGTGACGAAATTATAATTGGATAATATTGAAATATATACTTATTACGTACATACATTATAAAATATAAAGTAAGAATGGAGATATAGTCTCATGTAGCTTATCTTAAGCATTGATTATTTGGTCTTGTTTGGCAGGAATTAAAATTTTGAATTTTCCAAATCAAAGTCAGTAATTAATTTAAACCATATATTTCATAGGACTTGTAACATTGTAATCATATATTTCATCACCTTTTATCAAATCTACAAAAAATTTAATTTTAATTTTCACCAAATAGTGGCTTAAAATAGAAAGTATCTTGTATTTAGACAATCTCTTGAATATGTTCCAATAGTACTATTCGAGTCAAAATTAGCTATAAAATTCCGCCCCCGTTTAATGGTCATTATTTGGGAAAAAAAAGGTGTTTGAATAGTGATTTTTCGGAAAATGTGATTTAAAAGTAAGAAATTTTTTTTAAATTTACGTGCAGAATACTTTATTATGTGAATGTATGATTAAAAATAAATACGAAAAAAAGGTATTTTCAAAGAATGACCATCAAACATGAGCTTCTTCTCCTATTTGATCAATCAAATTTCCCGAACTTGTATTCTCTTCCCACCCAATGGAATTAAATTCGAATTTTCCATTGAGATTACAAGTCTAATTCTCGATTGATGTAAAATTAAATTTATATTTTGTAAAATCATATTAAGGACTTGTGTGACAAAGTTTTTAATAAAAGTTTTATCAGATTTTGATAAAAAAAAAAAAGATTAAAAGTGTGGTTAAAATTAAAGTTTGATAAGTTAAAAAAGTTTAAAGTTTTACCAAACAAGGTGTAAAGTCTTTATTTGATTCCAATTTTGTCAAAATCATTTTTCTTTAAAACGTTGTGCTAATTAAACAATTTTGCACGTTGATCTGTAATTTTCTACTTTTTAATAGCTTTTTGATGTTTAGACTTGAATTGAATGTGCAAACTTGACAGCGAGTTAATTACTCAATCTTGGAATTCTGAGCATGTTTCGGAGTGCTTGTTTCTAAAAAAAAAAAAACAAACGTCCTACCTAAAATAATATATTTTGATTCTTTAGGTAAAAGAAGAAGAAGAAGAAGAGACATAAGTTTTATCATGTTTTGAATTTATCTCACATAATGTCTAAAATTTCAAGAACGTGAGAAAAAAAGCATAACTGTCGCATGATATAAAAGTCTATGAAATGAGATGTGACAATTATCTAACACTATGAAGAAGCTCGAGGCATTTTGAATTTTCCCCTAAGTCGCAGCAATTCACTTGAGAATCAGAGTCGAACTAGCTTATTAAATATGGAAATTTACGTTGTAGGTCCATAATCTATTCATATAGTAATTATTTAGTGCACACCCTATATATTTGTAAGAATCTTTACCACTTCTCAAATTTGTAGGAAGTTCGTCTTTACTAATCACATTTCATCCACTGGATCGTTAAAAGGCACGTGACAATCTTCTGCTATGTTATTTATTTGCACTTGTAGCAAATCGAGTTGTTTTTATATAAATAATTATAAATTTTGTGTTATATATGGAAATCTCCTCAACGCTGTGGGAAAAAAATGGTGTTGTTTAT